CGGGCGATATGCCATCTCTGCGGACAAACCTCATTCCCAAAGAACAAGCGATACAGTACGGACCCGAGGCCCTAGCTTACTGGTCTAGATGGAACGAACTAAGTATCCGAGGGGGGGGGGGGGTGGGTGCTCTATAAAAAATGGTTCCCAAGGGATGACTTGCGTCCGGTATTGCAGACGATTGTTCCTGCAACCGGGAGGAAGGAGATCCTCAACCAGCTGCACTCCTCGCAGATTAGCGGCGGACACTTTGCAGTTGAGAAGACCCTCGCTCGAATTCGTCAACGGTTCTGGTGGCCCACCATGAGGACAGACGTGGAGAAGAAGATACAATGGCGCCTCATTTGTGCAGCGCGGAGCACAGGAGAAAAAAAGGGTCGCCGCGGATTGTTCTGCCAGAAATCCCCACGGCTGTGTACCTGGACGACTCAACTTATTTGGCAACTTCACGGGACGATGATTATACGCTTTTCAACTACAGCAGAGGAGCTAAGGAGAGGGGTGAACCCATATCCGGTTGCAGAAGTTGCCTTCTACGACCCAGTTGCGATGGTAGGATCGAAACGCCAGACGGTGCTTTGGTTCTAGTGCCAGACCCACGGACCTGCCAGTACGAGACTGGATTAACGGTGACGATCAGACAACACCCGTTGATCCGGACCTTGTTTGCGACTTTGGAGGAAGCTGAAAAGAACCTTCCAGGAGTCATGATACCGGAGATCTTACGAGAGCAGGCGAGGAGTGAGATGGTCGAAGCACTCCTACTCAATCTGATCAAGTTGCCAGAGGGGTCGGTGGACGAAGAAGCCCTATCGGAGATTGCCAAGCCCTTTGCTGATGAAATTTTACGCAAACACACCCCTTTTCATTGGCAGATGATGCGCAGTGGACCTGTGCAACTGGGACTGGTGATCTGGCTGTAGGTCGCAGTCTTTTTAATATTAGGCTGCGTGTACTGGCGTTGTTTTTCAAGGAGGGTGCGTTTACTGGGAATTAATATGCGTCGCCAACGAGACGCGGACTTCGAGGACTCCTACTGTTGTGCGCCACTAGGACGACATCGAGGGGTGCCGCCACCTAGATATGACCCCAACTATGAGGGTGGATCACAGAGACCCAACAGTTATCCCCAGGGACCCCCCAGAGGTGATTCGTTCTCTGGACAGACATACCTACCCCCCAGAGTACCCGCTAGCTCATCATTCGATGAAGTGAACCTTACAAGGACCACACCGCTGATGGGACGAGGCTTTAACTATGTGCGAGGCAAGTGGAAGGGGGTTTCTGGACGTGGACGCCGGATCGGTAAAAGCGCGCTGATGGACACCACTCTGTGAGGAGGGGAGGATGAGGCGATCAGGAGGGTGAGAACCAGTCCGACCGGTTGTGAGTCTAAAACATTTTATATATTCATGAACTCAATATAATGCTCATCGTATTCGGTGCTACTATACTAGGGTGTGACCCCACCTCATGGATATCACTACTTCGTTTCAAACATTCATATCTATCTAAACGGATGAGGTTGGATCACACCGTGAGGAGTAACTTGATAGCAGTCATGTCCCCGAGTCAGCTCAGCTGACCCCTCATTCATGGTATAACCATACGTGCTTTTATTTGACGGGGACCGACTAGAGGTTTGCGATCACACGATACAATTTAGTAGGATGCGTTAGGCGACATTAAAGAGGTTGAGGGTCATTAAAGACTTAATCAGGTTAATTTAGCGCAAGCTCAGGTTAATTCATAGCATACAAGACTTTCGAGGCCAGGCTTGCAGGTTAACCAACGAACATGACAGATTACAATCTTAAGTAAAAGCAACCGATTGATTGACGGGCCGTTGTGTCGCCTCGATAAACATCTGAACAGGTGAAGATAAGGGAAAAAGAGAACCACGAAGGCTGAAACCGTGCATTGTTACTATCAAAATTCAGTCGTTAAGGAACCGTCGAATTTTAATAAATTCTCTAAATTACAGAAGAAAAAAAAGTCGCCAAAATGACAATTGTGTGGAGATCCTTCATCCTCCGAGCCTTCTTCACCATCCTAGACTACCAGGAAGAAGATGAGTATATAACTCTTTCACTGAAGAGTGGTGCCTCCCTGCACCTATTGGCAGACACTGCCTCCTGGCATGAGTTCCGGTTGTTTCTGCGGGGGCAGGGTGCCCCACGGCCTTTCCGACACTACCCTAGAGTCGAAGAGACGGTGCCGGATGTGAGCACAGCTCTCTGGAAGTTCAATCCGGGGGAACCCGATCTGGAGAGTTGCTCAACTGCGGGCCAATTTCATGTACATGAGCCCGCCCGGGACCCGGCAACTGACACTTGCTCGACCGAGGGTCAACCGCCTTCGGAGAAGTCTGGGCGGGAGAGATTTCTCAGTTGGGAGAGTGATGAGGACTCTGCAAGCACCCACTCAATTTCCCTCTCCGACATAGCAAGGGCTGGGAGGAGGAGGCCCAGTGATAGGCCCAAAATTAGGGACCTCTTTGACGAAATCAGACATACCATAGGGGAGGAGGAATATCGGGCGCTCCAGGCCCAATGGGGAGAGGGGAATTGGTCAGACGAATATGACGAATCCTCAACCAATTCGGGGGCCGAAAATTAGGAGAGGACAGTTTATAAACTCTCGCTAATAACCAAGGAATTTATAAAGGAAGGAACTGATTAAACTTATAGCTTAAACTTAAATTTAACTATAGCTTACACCTAAATAAAGTATAGATTGTATATAGTCAGTAATTCAGCATTTAATGGTAAAAAAAGGGGGAGAGAAAAACCTAACATTATTCGGGAGAATAATAGACTAGAAGGGAAGACTGTAGAATTGGTAATTCTAGCAAATTTTCGACTTAGCGTATTTTCTGCTTGGGTATCGTTACCTTGGTTTAAGTTTAGGTATTTCATTTCTCAATATGAGGTCTAAATAGCTTATTTGGATGGCTGTTAGCTAAGGGTAAACAAAGATTGAAAAGTGGACTTAAAGCTAAATAAAGTAGTAGAAATAAAATCGAAGAAAAATGCACTTTTACCCGGACATTTCCCCCTCTAACTCTGGCTGGGATTAAGAAAATGGAAAACGGTTTATACCTGTAGGTAGCTAATTGCTATGGGATTGTACATGCACGGAATTATGTGCCCAGGGTAAATTGGGTCATGGGGGTACTACCGAGTATAAAAGCAAAACTTATCCCCGACCGTGTATTTTATCCTAACATGATAGGGAAAATATTAGTAAAATTTGGTTCAAAATCGGGTTATGATTAGTTTATTGGGATCGTACGACTTTGTTACTTGGGTCAGGATTTGATACCGAAGTCAGCTGGTATTTAAGTAAGTAGCGTAGGGGGGATTTAACTGATAAGAATCATACGACTTCGGTTACTTACCCGATTTACGATACCAACCGCAGGAGGATGTATTTACGAAACGTGAACAAATCGATAAAAACCCCGGACTTGGAACCCGTCAGCTTCGACAGAGGGAGTAGGTAAAAAGGAAAACCATAGGGGGCGGTTGTGCTTAAGGGGATGACAACACTGATATGAAGTGGCGTGACTTTAACAAAAACGGAGCGCAATTAGATATAAGAAGTGGAGGTTCGAGAGCGTATTTTGAAGGGAGAACGAGTTAACGAACGTAAGATTCAGTAGGTCCCAGTTGTGGCCGCTATCTGAACTCATCAGTTAATTGTTTCACAGCGAGTGAAGTAAGAACGCAAGTCGAAGTGCCTTGTGGAATATTAGTTAGAGTAGAAGCTAGCAAAAGTCAGAGAGCTTAGTCGACGCGTGTACTGAACGAGTACGCAGAAGAAATTGTTAAGCGTGTACAGATCGCAAACCATTCTGTTGTATATTAATAAATTATACTCTGGCCGAACTAGTAGGCCCTTTGTATTCAGACTTATATATATTGAATTCATTTGAAAGAAAGGAATTCGTTGTACGCGACTTCAAGCGAGATATAGCGAGCAAGATCATCACTGACCAAGGGGGAGCAATAGAATACAGTAGAGGACAACTCACTACTAACAAAACCCTTTCGGGATTGTCGTTAATACCGAGCCTTAGTGCCCCTGCTTTAGCACGGTAAAAGGGATAGCTTCGCAAGACCGTGTGCGGAAATCCTAAAGACGACATGTACAATTTGAGCAGGATAGCCTTCTTGAAGAAGAAAAAATGAACAGATGAATAAAGTTAGATAGTTTGCGCACGGACAAGCCGATGCGAAACCAAAAACCTTATTCAAGAAAAGAAAAATGGAGAAAAAAGTAGCATCAGCTCGAGCACCAAACCTTGAGTTATGAAACGGAAACGGCGGGTGTTTTACTCAAGAAAGAAACAAACTTCGTGAACAAGAAGCGTTTGTACGTGTACAGTCGCTATTTGACCTGTAATTAATGAATATGAACTAGAATTAGTGCTATTCCATGCTTGATTATTCAATCCGAAAGGATGCTTTGAACACTTTACTTTAATTTTCTCAAAGTCAAATTTATTTGAGTGAAAACAAATGGCGAAGCTGTAAGGACTGCAATGTCACAAAACTTTTCATTTTCTCCTACTTTTTTGAAAGAAATATAACAGCCAAATGACAGTTGGAAAAAAGTAATCACGCAAGGAAACGGGAAACTGACGAATTTTATAGAAAATAATATGCTCCTAAAGCTTTCTGAATTTCAAAATTAAATTACAATCAGTTCTTTGTTAATAAAATTAACCCAATTTGAGAAAACTGGATCAAAAGATTAGTTTTTAATTTCGCTGGGAAATCTGAACATTAAAATCCACTTTCAAAACTAGAAGTCGAGCTTGTTTTTGGTGACCTTTTTACTTTTGCTGTTCAATAGTAAACGTTGCCATTCTTTTAACAATGGAAATGAACTGAACTTGAAAACAAAATTATGACAAACCTCGAAAAATCAAAATTGAACGTGCACAAATTTATCCTAAAAAAAGCAAAAAAAAACCTATATAAGGATCTCACTACGTTCGTTACTCTTTTAAAAACTATATACTTAATCTTAATACATAGGATCTTCGAAAGTACTGCATCCGTGCATGTATTCTTCTTCTATTCTATACTAATGTATCAACTTCATTCATTGAATTGAGCATTTGCGATTATCATTATTATTTTCTTTAATGTCAACAGGGTACACAGCTTCTGGGAAAACTGATTCGTCCGGCGAACTAATAAGAGGGTCAGTTGATTTTCCATTCAATGGTACAACTGCTGGTTTTGCTATCACTTGAGATCCACTAGCATTGAAACTTTCGGAAAGGTTTCGTTCTGATTTCAATTCCATTATTTTTTCGGCTAAGCTCACTATCCGCATCATTTCTTCGCTTAAAAGCCGCCTCCGTTTTTTGGATTCTGCGTCATGTTCATTGAAATCTTTCAAACGTAAGCGATAAAATTCGATTACTTTCAAAAGGATATTTTTACACTGGTCAAAATGTCCTTTACTTAAAAATGGACACAGGAAACTTTTATGCGCTTCTCTCTGCTTCAGGAGTATGTCATCAAAGGCATGAAAGGCCGACTGAAATTCGGCAAATTTTTCTTCACCTCGGGAGAAAATCTGTTCAATATCAGCACCAAAATTGATGTTCTCCATTTGTGAAGTTTCATCAGCTTTATTTGGCAGCGAAGTTTCAACTTTTGCTTTATTTTCAGCTTTTTCTGACAAACGACTTTTTAACCTTTCTGCTTTTTGAGTATAAAAATTGACTTCGTTTCGCAGCTGATTTTTCTCAGCTTCAATGTCTGTCAATTGAACCACTTCCATTAGTAACCTAGCTCCCTCAGCGTACAGCGTAATAGCACCACTCAAATCGCTAATTTTAGATAAATTACTAGCATTGGCAAAACAATTTTCGCCTTCAGTTCTGATGGAAAAACAGGTCCGATATTTTTCAAGGTCAGTGAATGGATGGGTTCGCAGTTCCGTAAATGTGATACGTTCATCTGGGTTGATTTGAAGAAGTCTAGTCAATAGATCAATGCACTCAAAACTGAATTTATTTTGGCTATTTGCTGGAATGGTGATCGGATCTTTCAGAAGCATAAGTTTCTCCAAAACTGCTTGTGACGTAGTCCTGAAACAAAAAAAGGGGTGCAGATATGAAAACCAAATCTAGCCAAGACACAGAAGGAAAGTGTAAATAAACCCATGGATACCGAAAAGAAAATGGCCAACTAGTCTTTTTTTGAAAAAATTTTCAACTTTAAACTTCAAAAAAATATATATTCTAACTGTTCTTTGAGTTTCAAGAACAATTGATGAAGGACACTTATTTTTGAAAACAATTTTAGAAAACTGCTAAGAAACTTACAAAATGAATACTATAGAAACTAAAATTCCTTTTTTGCGCCGTTTCCAATTTTGTAATGGGAGAGCATCATATGCTTCTTTTTTGAAAATGAATTTCAGCTGAAAATGAAGAAATCAAAAGTAAAATGGCATCGTAACACTTCGCACCCCTTGCGATACCAAACAAACACAGCATTGCAAGCTAGTAAAAAGAAAATGAAATGAAGCCACACTAAAAAAAAGAAAAAACATTATTCAAACAAATCTATAAAAATTCCACAATCTGCCGCGCACGATAATAAATTTGAGGAAAACATGTCCAGCAACACTTTTCGCTTAATGTCCTGATAATCATGACTATTACGCCATTCCAACACACGAAAGCATAAGAATATCTCTTATACCTTCGAAAAGACGCAAAATTTGGTCACTCATTAAGTCAATTAAACACAAGCTAATGTTTAATTGTTTAATTAAGTCTTACACAAATCTTATATATCACCAGTACATTTTATCGAAGTTTTTAAGGTTGAATTGGTTTAACTTTGTATACATATGTGTATTTATTTATATTGCTAAGTCTTAATTTGATGTTTTTATTCCAGCAGTAAATTCATGGCATTTTAATCATTTTTTATTTCACTTAATTAATTAATATTCAAGCAGCTAATCTGAAAACTTGAAATTATCTTTATTACACTTTACTGTATTGATGCATAGACTTTTATACCGTAATGACGTGTGTTTTCTTCTTCAAAAAAAAACAAATCAAAGATAGTTGAAATTACAATGAAAATTGCTTACAGCACAAAAAAGTGGCAACTAAGTCGACAAAACATAAGTAGACAAACTATAGACTGATACTTTTTTTGAGACAGAACATTTTCAGTTTATTTTATATAAAACAAGTCCTGGCGGGATTCGAACCAAGGCCCTTAGCCGTCCCATGCGTAGTTGTTATCTCTAAGCCAAATTTGCCGGGAAAAAAAAGAGAAATTTGATTAGATTATCAATGAAGCTATCAAATTATTCAATCGATTTTAATACCTAATTGACCATAAAAAGACTACATTCCGATTTGATAACGCTTGATCATTGCAAAGGCAGAGACAATTTTCTGAAAGGAAAAAACAACTAAATTATTACAAAAAACAGGAGTATTTCGGCTAATTTCAGTGACACTCAAGTATACGCTTTGAATAGGGATATAATGATAATAAATCAGAAAAAAATGCAGTGCGCAAAAACAAGCAATTAAAACTCATTGAAAAAGACTTAAAATCAAACCTCTGCGAGCAAGCGATTCGGAGCCCGTGCTTTAACCACTGCCCCTATCATAAGACTCTGCGTACACTGTTCAATTCTGAACGATTTCCACTCAACGACAGATGTCGCAAAGAAAAGTTTCAAAACAATCAATGCTGAAGCTGATTCCAAAATCTGGGCCAGACAAGAAACATCCCTAGAAGCATCTGTGATATCTTTCATTTCATTTTTGAAAATGAAAAACTAAGAAATCTCTATTATCAGATTTAGAAAAAGGACTCAGACAATCAGTGAAACAATGTTCCATACACATTACAACACACAATTCAGTATTAAATTAGAATCAGCTTCTTTGTTTAGTTGGATGAACAAAAATTCCTTTTTTTTTGATTTCTTAGAGCTCCTGGAGCTTTTGAATTTTTCGTCTAGCCCCGGAGATGAAAAAAATCGAGGCCAGCGCTTGAACAAGAACCTCCTCCAGAAGCATTTTCTCAATCCCATATTGTTCACTGATTCGCACCAAGCCATGGTGCGCCATGGTGTTGACTCAAAAAAATTCAGAAGTTGAATTGGTAGAAACCATTGCAATAGTTATATGTAAATTTAACCCATTTTAATTACACTGTTATTACACAGAGGCGAAGCTGAGCTTCGTATCACTTGCGATACAAATATGAATGACTAAGATTAAAATCAAATGGAGAAAATGAAAAAAAAAATCGTTTTTTTTTCAATTAAAATTGCAACAAAAGCCCAAAATATCCAGAGCAAAACTGCTCGCACAATTAGAAACTCTACAAAGAGCTTGGGAATGCTATAACAAAGCCAAGTTTTCAAAAAACACCTTTCTGCAGAATTAAGCACATACAAAAATCTAAATTAGCCAAAAATTTCTACTTGCAAAAAAACAGGTCTCAACTGGGATTCGTCGTCTCAAGCATGAGGGTTACAGCAAATTGGAAAAAAGCTAAACCATCGAGCTACAGAAACTAAGCCGACAAAAAACAGACGGACAAAAATCCGAAAAAGAATAAAACTCGAGTTTGCAATAAAAAGGGTCCGGCCGGACTCGAACCGCAAGCCTTTACCGTCTCAAGCAATTGATTTACCTCCACGCCAGATGCGCCGGATGGTTGATTGGATCATGATTTATAATTACCAGGCGGTAACAAAGCCGACAATACCTGAGCAGAAACGCTTTATACCAACAAATATCTAAAATTAGGCAACAAAAAGTCTTAGGTCCCTTTTCCCCTCAGAACACACACGCACACAAAAACTTTCCTCCGTCAAAACGATGTGATAAGAATCCACAAAGATGATATTAATTGAGCTGAAAATTATTAACCCGATAAAAAAGACGAAAAAAATTGAAAAAAAATTGACACTTTAACAAATCGAGCTGGTAAGATTACAACCAATGCGAAAAGCAAACTTCATTTCGGCCGGATTCTTAAAAATCTTTAAGCATTTGCAGTGAAAGTTTTTTACAGCTGAAATAAACGATTCTTAGATGTGACCGGCAAAACATAAGCAGATAAATAACATACCAAAATTTTTTTGAACATAAATATTTACCTTTTGAAAAAAAAACTGTTCCCGGTCAGATTCGAACAATGACCTATGCCGTCCTAGGCGTGTTCTTTACTACCAGGCTAAGTGTGCAAGAAACACTGCAAAATTTTCAATTTTTTATGAACGAAGGTACCACCAGGAGTTCAATGACTCCTGTGGACAAAGTTGTTTACGGGGAAAAAAGTCTAGTACCCGATTGCAATACCCTTGCTTATCGCAAGGGTAATTAAGCATATACTGAGCAGACAAAACTTGAGAAGACAAAACTTCAATTTAAACAAAACCACGCCAAGTGAAATTATGGCAGTTATCATTTTATATATATTAAGGTTTCGGTTTATGCTATACCCGCTTAATGGCCTCATATTTCGTCGTTTAATTTGAATATAATTAAACTCATTAATACTCTTGTATTGAAAAAGACTTAAAATCAAACCTCTGCGAGCAAGCGATTCGGAGCCCGTGCTTTAACCACTGCCCCTATCATAAGACTCTGCGTACACTGTTCAATTCTGAACGATTTCCACTCAACGACAGATGTCGCAAGGAAAAGTTTCAAAACAATCAAGCTGAAGCTGATTCCAAAATCTGGGCCAGACAAGAAACATCCCTAGAAGCATCTGTGATATCTTTCATTTCAATTTTGAAAATGAAAAACGAAGAAATCTCTATTATCAGATTTAGAAAAAGGACTCAGACAATCAGTGAAACAATGCTCCATACACATTACAACACACAATTCAGTATTAAATTAGAATCAGCTTCTTTGTTTAGTTGGATGAAAAAAAAATTCCTTTTTTTTTTATTTCTTAGAGCTTCTGGAGCTTTTGAATTTTCCGTCTAGCCCCGGAGATGAAAAAAAAATCGAGGCCAGCGCTTGAACAAGAACCTCCTCCAGAAGCATTTTCTCAATCCCTTTTTTTGTTCACTGATTCGCACCAAGCCATGGTGTTGACTCATAAAAACTCAGAAGTTGAATTGGTAGAAACCATTGCAAAAGTTATATGTTAATTTAACCCATTTTAATTACACTGTTATTACACAGAGGCGAAGCTGAGCTTCGTATCACTTGCGATACAAATATGAATGACTAAGATTAAAATCAAATGGAGAAAATGAAAAAAAATCGTTTTTTTTTCAATTAAAATTGCAACAAAAGTCCAAAATATCCAGAGCAAAACTGCTCGCACAATTAGAAACTCTACAAAGAGCTTGGGAATGCTATAACAAAGCCAAGTTTTCAAAAAAGACCTTTCTGCAGAATTAAGCATATATACAATAATCTAAATTAGCCAAAAATTTCTACTTGCAAAAAAACAAGTCTCAACTGGGATTCGTCGTCTCAAGCATGAGGGTTACAGCAAATTGGAAAAAAGCTAAACCATCGAGCTACAGAAACTAAGCCGACAAAAAACAGACGGACAATAGTCCGAAAAAGAATAAAAACTCGATTTTGCAATAAAAAAGCGCCCGGCCCGACTCGAACCGCAAGCCTTTACCGTCTCAAGCAATTGATTTACCTCCACGCCAGATGGTTGATTGGATCATGATTTATAATTACCAAGCCGTAACAAAGCCGACAATACCTGAGCGGAAACGCTTTATACCAACAAATATCTAAAATAAGGTAACATAAAGTCTTAGGTCCCTTGTCACCTCAGAACACACATGCACACAAAAACTTTCCCCGGTAGCGATGTGATAAGAATCCACAAAGATGATATTAATTAAGCTGAAAATTATTAACCCTATAAAAAGACAAAAAAAAAGAAAAGAAAATGAAACTTTAACAAATCGAGCTGGTAAAATTACAACCAATGCGAAAAGCAAACTTCATTTCGGCCGGATTCTTAAAAATCTTTAAGCAATTGCAGTGAAAGTTTCTTCCAGCTGAAAAAAAAAACGACTCTCAGATGTGACCGGCAAAACATAAGCAGATAAATAACAAACCAAAATTTTTTTGAACATAAATATTTGCCTTTTGAAAAAAAAACTGTTCCCGATCAGATTCGAACAAGGACCTATGCCGTCCTAGGCGTATTCTTTACTACCAGGCTAAGTGTGCAAGAAACACTGCAAAATTTCAATTTTTTATGAACGAAGGTACCACCAGGAGTCCAAGCTCTTTGTAGAGTTTCTAATTGTGCAAGCAGTTTTGCTCCGGATATTTCTGGCTTTTGTTGCAATTTTAATTGAAAAAAAAAACTATTTTTTTTCATTTTCTCCATTTGATTTTAATCTTAGTCATTCATATTTGTATCGCAAGTGCTACGAAGCTCAGCTTCGCCTCTGTAAAATAACAGTGTAATTAAAATGGGTTAAATTAACATATAAATATTGCAATGGTTTCTACCAATTCAACTGCTGAATTTTTATGAGTCAACACCAAGGCTTGGTGCGAATCAGTGAACAAAAAAAGGGATTGAGAAAATGCTTCTGGAGGAGGTTCTTGTTCAAGCGCTGGCCTCGATTTTTTTCATCTCCGGGGCTATACGGAAAATTCAAAAGCTCCAGGAGCTCTAAGAAATCAATAAAACTGGAATTTTTGTTCATCCAACTAAACAAAGAAGCTGATTCTAATTTAATAGTAAATTGTGTTTTGTAATGTGTATGGAACATTTTTTCACTGATTGCTGAGTCCTTTTTCTAAATCTGATAATAGGGATTTCTTCGTTTTTCATTTCCAAAAATGAAATGAAACATATCGCAGATGCTTCTAGGGATGTTTCTTGTCTGGCCCAGATTTTGGAATCAGCTTCAGCTTGATTGTTTTGAAACTTTTCCTTGCGACATCTGTCGTTGAGTGGAAATCGTTCAGAATTGAACAGTGTACGCAGAGTCTTATGATAGGGGCAGTGTTTAAAGCACGGGCTCCGAATCGCTTGCTCGCAGAGGTTTGATTTTAAGTCTTTTTCAATGAGTCTTAATGAGTTTAATTATATTCAATTTAAACGACGCAATATGAGGCCATTAAGCGGGTATAGCATAAAGCGAAACCTTTCACAATCGAATTAGGGGAAAATGAAGCGATATGGCACTTGGTAATTTTATTTATAGAAAACAAAATTTCATTAAAAAAGGGGATTTAGAAGCAGACTTGCTCAAAATGTCTGAGTTGTCGAAACTATAGACTTGGAGTTGAACATCAATTTCAGTGATCCTGTGAACAATGTTATTTTCAGGAAAAAGGTATATACCCCGTTACTGCACCCTTGCTTATCGCAAGGGTAACAACAATGACGATCTACTGTGTGCACAATTTGCACTTTTGTTATTGTAGAGCGAAAATGTCTTGTTTATTAGAAAAAGCGGATTAGGGAAATCCCTAACTAGGACGTAAGAAATTACTTAAACTCACCCAATAATAGGACAAGTTCCTAGTAATGTCTCGTATAAAATAACTCCACAGCTCCATAGATCTGATCTGGCATCAAAAATATTTGACGTGTTTTTGCCTTTAGACCTGCTCCGAGTTGAACGAACTTCTGTATGGTTGCTGTGAGACATCGACCTTTTGAGCTCCTTGGGCTTGCTTTTAGTCGCTGCATTTTTCACAATCTCAGGAGCCATGTATAGTGGCGTGCCGCGAAGGGAAAACTTACTATCATCCTCTGTTGCATCTCGGAGCACCAAAGCGAAGCCAAAATCGGCCACTTTGAGTTGATTCTTATGCGTCAAGAGCAAGTTTTTGGGCTTAAGATCAAGATGTGCTACATCCTGTGAGTTGAGGTAGCACATAGCATCAGCGAGCTGGCGAAAGTAGTATTTCGCTGAAACGTGAAAATAGTTAAAGAAATTAAACCGATGTAATAATGGATTTTTCAGCCAACTGATTAAAAATCGGATATTTAATTAACTCCCCCCTTTTGCAAAAGTGGGAGATTCGTTAATAGGTACAAAAGTCACTATGCTTAACCATTAAGTTATTTCTTCACAGGGGTGGATATTTATTACACAGAGGTGAAGCGGAGCTTCGCACCTCTTGCGATACAATACAACCATAAAAAACAGTCGAAAAAAATAGAAAATAGGGGCAGGCGCGAGGGCCCAGTCAAGGTTCTTGGCTGTTTGCACATAATCAGCGACTATCTTTGATCAGTGTCCTGCAAAAAAGCGGATCCCGGGACAGCGACGTTAGAACACCAGACCTGTCGGTCCTGGGTGTAAGTTACACCCAGGACCGACAGGTCTAGTGTTCGAACGTCGCTGTCACGGGATCAGCTTTGGAGGAAAAAATAGCGGTAACTTTGCGAGATTGTCTTCGCACACTCGAAAATCATAACGTTAAACGCTCACGTCACGGATGCTTGCTATGGGCTGATGGAACTCGCGCGCGCTCGTATGGAAGGGTGGCGCAAAAAGCGCCAACCACCTAGGTGACCAAATTTCTCCTGTCTCGATAAAAAATTATTACAGGCCCAGCTAAAACTGTTTTTATAACTGGTACGTGTTTTATACTGAATGAGTTCTCTATATGATGCCTCACGAAAAGTGTGATTTCAAAAAGTGGAGTTTGCCTAAAACATTAGTTGTTTCTTTACTAAAATAAGAGAGAAGAGTAAGAAAATTAGAGATAATCAATTTTCCCAAGAATATAACATTACTCTTACCAAAAATTAGGGAATCGCTGCTTCTGGAGAACAATTATCGTAAGCCGTTCTTTTAACGGAATTTTTCATCTCAGATTTGATTGTGTAAAAGTCGTCGAAAGTTGTAAAAACCGTTCAAAAAATTTTCTAAATACAAAACGTTTTTTCTGCAAAAAGCAGGTTATGGCCGCTTAAGCAGAGAAAACAACCAACACCGGGGTTCTCGATGAAACACAACTTGAGAAATCGCCCGGTAGTTTTCGCCTAAAGTCAATAAGTTTCCAAAAAAAACTGTCCAAGTTTCAAAACTTTCGCTTTTCTGAAGGCCATAAATTGTTTTTTAGACAAACTGGACATATCTAATTCGAATTGTAGGCTTTCAACAACCTTTTCATCCAATTAAAACTATAAAAGCAGATTTTGCAGGATAGTTAGCGAGAAATGTAAAAAAAGGTCAACAAATCAAAAATTTGACAATTCCGAGAATCATAACTTTTTGAGTTCAGTTTTCGAGAATATTCAAAAGTTTACAATAGCGGTCAAAAAACAAATATTTGACTTGTCAGAGGGCGATAACTTCTTGTGTAAAATTTTCTGTTAGTTTCCGCTTATGCAGAGGAGCTTCCCACTAAATGTTATCTCATTGAACTCACATTATCAGATTTGAGAGGTTAGTTTTCGAGAAAAGTCGAAAAGATTCCACAATACGGTCAAATATCAAAAATTGGACTATTCCGAGGGCCATAAATTAATGTGCAAAAAAACTGATCTTAGTTACTTGTGCAGGGGTAATTTTCAAACAGTTCTATCCACTAAACCAAAAACTGATATTTCAGATAGTTTTTGAGAAAACGAAAAAAAATCAAAAATATGGTTTAAATATTCCCCCACACTTTTTCGAAGGCTGTAGACAGAGGGGTCAAATAAAAACAGACTCTAGGGGAGTATGCAGGATCACAAAGGAATAAGCGGTGTTTCAAATGATAATTTTTTGAAAATCAGAAGTTTGCAAAATGTGAAAACATTTTCCAAAACGAAAAATTTCAACAAACAGATTGTTAAACATACAACCAACTTGAAAAGTGCGAGGGGATTGCTGAAATTATGTTAATCTTGAACTGTCCCAAAATTAGGTCATCAGGCCGGTTAAAAATTGGCCGAAAAAACTTTGGTCGAAGAAGTTTTTAGCGAAACAAAAAAAAACAAAGGGAATATGAAGTCAAAGTAAGTAAAATTACGAATGTAGGCGTAAAACAAACACTACAAAAACGTTAAAAATAGCGTAGAAAAAAAAACAATTCAAGATGTGACAACTAAACCGACAACAGATAAGCAGACAAATCAAATAATTGGCCGACAATTTATTCCTGGTCAGACTCGAACTCAGGACCTTTGCAGTCCCAGGCATACTCGCTACCTCCAGGCTAAATTGGCTAGGAACGCTATGAAGTTCGAATAAATTTGCGTGTAAACGCACCTCCGGTGCTTCGAATTTTTAACATCATTTTTAACATCTCATAAAACCGCTTATATTGGAAATAAAATATGCATCCTTCAACTAAGTTCTTTGAAATTTTTTTAAAATGATCTGAGAAACGTCACATCTCGTAAAATTAAAGCAATTGAGCAGTCGCATTTGGACACAAGATTTGCAACTCCTGAAAGTACTCTTACAGTACCTTACTACAGTGTTGGGAATTTCAAATTTTGAAGAAAAAAATTTAATTTGAGTTTCCTGAAACTTTTTTTTTGAAAAAAAAAACCATAAAAAAGTCATATCTCGGAAACTACAAAATTTTGAGCAGTCATAATTGGAGGCAAAAATCACAATTCCTGAGAATACCTTGACAGGGCCTCACTAAAAAGATAGGAACTTTTTATATCTAAGTTCTTTGAACAATTTAAAAAAAGACGTAACAAAAATCACATCACGGAAACTGAGAGCATATGAGCAATCGCATAAGAACGCAAGATTTGCAATTTAAAACTCCTGAGAGTATCCTCAAAGTACCCAAACACAAAGTTGAGAATTTCCATTCTTTTGAATTTTTTTAAAATCTAAGTTTTCTGAAAAATTAACGAAATCAAAGAAAAATTAAAGAAAAATTTAAGTACACCAACTAAAAGTAAAGTAAATCTTATCCGGTACAACCTTCTTCCGAAGATTTTTTTCTTATCGGTTATCAAAAATTATACCTAACTCACCATGTCAAAAAATTAGACCCAGTTGATAGCAATTACTACCCAACAACAGCACAGATACTCGAAGCAACAGATGAAGAACATAACAAATATCTGCGTTCCACGAAAAAAGAAAATCTAGTTTGCAATTTCAAAGATATAGTTTCACAGTTGAAGGTTGCTCAGGCTACGCCTATTGCTATGCTTCAAGATTTTATCGATGAAATAAAAACTAAAGTCCTTCCTAGTATTGCATCATCAATTGAAAACATCAATAAAGATGTAGCAAGAGTAAAACACAGCAATCCAACACTGCAAACAGAATCAAGGTATACACCACGCGCGCCACAAGTATTATCAAGACAAGCTGATCCAATGACAATTCGGATTAGAGGTTTTCGAAGAAAGTGGAAACTCGCCACTTGAACAAATGGAGAACGACAAGAAAGCTGCTGAAAACATTTTTGCGCATTTTGGGGTATCCTGCGAGATAAAAGAAATCAAAAGATTGGGCAAACTTCAGGGAAACAGACAAAGCCGCCCACTCTTAGTATTTGTCGACAGTACATGGAAAAAACGACTCATCCTCGCATCATTAGCTAAACTGAAATAGTATCACCAGAAAGTGTACATTAGCCCCGATTTATCCGCTGATGAACTTTTGAAAGAAAAATCAGCGCTGAAGAAGCGACGTGAAATGATAAATAACGGCGTGCCCGCAACAGAATTGATAAGTGTTGAATGAATAGTACAGCAACTAAAAGTAAACAGTTTGAAACTCATGTTCCTGAATGCACGATCGATAAAAAAGACTGAAGCAACCATTAAGCTTTTCAATAAAGACCCACCCTACATGAGCCGACTAGTGAAAATCCTATTGAAGAAAAAACAGCAGCTGATGAGAAGACACAAACATCGTGATGCCGATCTCGTATCCTCGCAAATCAGTGCCCTGCTTGTTAGCAATATTGCTTCGGACAAAAAAGCTAAAGGGTCAGCTACGTGGTGGAAAAAAGTCAACACCTTGTCTGCTCGAAACAGAAAAAAGAATTACGCATTCCTTTCTCAGCAGAAGAAATGAATAAGTACTTCTGCAGTATATCCACTGCTACCAACTATCAAGATCCTATTTTCCTAGATTGTACTTCATCAGAGTTTTCTCAACTAGAGCTACATCAAGTGTATAATTATCTAAAGCGGGTCAAGATCACTGCGGCTGGGCATGACGATCTCCCAGATTGGTTTATCAGAGAAAATGCACACAATCTGGCTGAACCGTTACATCATCTCTATAACCTTTGTATTCGATATCAAATATTTCCTGATGTGTTCAAGTTATCTAAAGTAGTACCCATTCCGAAGTCGAAAGTTATCACTCAATGCAACATGCTTCGGCCCATATCTGCTACCGCGATACTTGCTCGGATTTTTGAAAGACTCGTATACGATCAATTTGTTTCCAATTCATACAATTTGTGGCTGAATAAGAACCAATTTGGTTCCAGGAACAAATCTTCGACTAGTTGTGCGCTCATTCAATTAATGGAAGACTGCAAGTCTCTCGAGAAACAGGGATGCGATTATATCCGAATCTTTTCTTTGGATCTTAGCAAAGCCTTTGACAGAGTGCCACGCCATCTCATAATCTCACAATTATCTAAAGTTGTCCCGAGTGTGAATCCCTATATTGATTCGTTCTTTTTTGATGTACCGGAAACAGTTTGTTGTTTATGAAAACCACAGATCATCAACGAGCAGTACCAATTGTGGTGTACCGCAGGGGACTGTGATGGTCCCCCGTGTTTCAATCTTTCATATGACGACTGTCAAGTTACTCGAACCCTGGCGACATCTGCAAAGTTTGCGGATGACAACACCCCCTGCATCGGTGGTAAACATGGAGTTGACTCGGCAAATCAAGCCATCGGTCACATCATGGAATGGTGTGAATCCAAAAATCTTATCTTGAACAACGAGAAATCCAAAGAAATTCAGATCAAATGATCTCACTCAGTTACTATTCAATCTGTTCATGACATTGAGATCACCGACTAACTTAAAATTCTAGGCATCACGTTCACCGATGAACTCTCTTTTGAACCTCACATAACAAAGGCAACCAAAAAAGCCTCATCACAGCTTTTTCTGCTGATTAAACTGAGAAGCCTTGGATACACCAAAACTGAACTCAATCTTCTCTACAATCAGCTTGTTATGCCCATCCTATTGTATGGTATTCAAGTATGGGGGGCGCACCCCAATATTTGCTCGAGAAGATAGACCGAGTCCAGAGGAGGGCTGCTGATGCAGGCGTTATTCATGGGTTTGTCTTAATCAACGACTTAGTAAGGAAAGAGGACGAAAAACTTTACGAATTATATCGAGAGATGACAACCATATTCTTTCAAGTATAATTCCATCTCGATCAGGGTATAGCGAAGCGAAATTGAGAGCGCGAAACCCGGTCGGCAATTATCTGATGTAAGAAAAATATATGCGGCATTAACCTGACAGGTTCTTGAGAAACTACAATTTGTAAATGTATTTGCCAATCATGTTTATTGGGACAAATCTCTGAGAGGTCTCGGATTATAAGCGCTATTAGTACGGTTCTATAACTTGGCATACAAATCACCGATATTGCTACAAACCATTTGACCGGAATGAAATTTCGGATTCTATTTGATTTTCCATGAGAAACTACAATTTGTAAATGTATTTGTTAATCAGTTGTACTTTACTGATTTCAATTAAGACTTATTTATTTTTTATTTATTTTTAATCATACAACACGTTATATCTCGAAAACTACAAGGATTTGAGCAGTCCTTTTTGGAGGCAAGATTCGCAATCCTCGAATATATTCTGACAGCACCCAAATACAGGGTTGGGAATTTCAAATGTTGTAAAATATTTTGTAATTTGAGGTTTCTGAAAATTTCTTGAAACAAAAAATGTCGTATCCCGCACACTAAAAGCATTTGGGCATTCGTAATTGGAGGCCAAATTCGCAACCCCTGGACAACCTGACATCATCCCACTATTGGGTTGCTTATTTTAAACTCGGTGAAGTAAACACTGAAATCAAACTGCAAGATCGAAAAATAATCTTAACCAATGCAATATACGATATAGCTTAAACGTGAAAAAATTCTTTTGTTAACCAGCAAAAATAATACGTTGAAAAAGCTTATACATAGCGAGATAGTGAAGCACGCATGAAACAAAGTAGAGATGAGCCCAGGCAAGTGCTGTGGAAAAAGTCGTTTACGGGAAAAATGTCTGGTACCCGGTTGCAATACCCTTGCTTATCGCAAGGGTAACTAGGAACCAAAGTGGGATAATTAAAGAGAACAAAAAATCACATGAATTCTTACGAACCTTGCTCTTCGGAGACTTTTCCTCTGTTTTTAGACAGGAGAAGAGAAAAGTCACCGTTAGGACAAAACTCCATGACGATGTAAATGTAATTGAGATCCCAATCGAACGAAATCATCTCAACGATATGAGGATGCCTGAGCTTTTTTAACACGCCGATCTCATTGATCAATATATCAACTGCAATTTTATTTCTCACTTGAGATCTTGGAATGCATTTAATAGCAAAATTTGTGGCAGCTAGTCTCCCCTTTCGAGTTTTGTCTACTTTCAAAGATGCGCTATAGACGTGAGCATATGTGCCACGCCCCAGGATTTTATCAAAGCAGTATGGTTCCAATTTAGGCGTTCCATTAGCCTTAGTTTGACCGGCAGTTGCAGGTCTCTTTGATGTTATACCGGTTCCAGATGGAGCGGTAGTCTGGACCTGGTGAAACATTTTTCTTCGAAAGAGAAACTTGCATAAGTCACTGAAACTGATGTCAACTAATACTCTTTGATAAAAAAAGTCCGAAATTATTATAGCAACCGAAATTTCTACATTAGTCCTTGATTAAAGGACCCTTAGGATTTTCACAAATTAGGGAAATTTAACGGAAAATATAACGTGAAAGAAATTTGAGAAGAATCGAGATGGTTGGGAATCAAATCAATCAAACTGATAAATCTAAAACACGCTACCTAAAACACCCCCATCTCGCTACCAGGCAAGTGGGGGGGGGGGGGGGGGCAGCCCGCCAGGCTTTATGGGTTGGCGAAAGTGCATAAAGTGAATACCCCATTAAGACCGGTCCTCTCCTTGCGTGGTAGTTCTTATTATAACTTGAACAAGGTTCCTGCAAAACTTTTCGAGAAAATTGAGGGCGCAAACATCGAAACCAACTCACTAGATGCGAGAGAAATCTAAGAGAGCACTAATCTTGAGCCCAATGAAAACTTGATATCTCTAGATGTGAAGAGTTTGTACACAAATGTTCCACTGAAAGAAGCGATAGACATAGCTCTGAGAAAACTGTATGAGCAAGATGAACCACCATCAATTGCTAGGAAAACCATGAAGAGACTGTTGAACATGGCAGTTAGTCAAGTCCATTTCAAGTGCAATGAAACATGGTACGTTCAGAAAGATGGTTTGGCAATGGGGGCATCTCTTGCCGTTATTATAGCAAATCACTGGCTGAAGCAGCACGAAACTGCACTATCGAGGGATATTCCCGAAATGTTTTTGCCCGAGAAAGATCTTCACGGAATATGTCCCGAGTGCAATAAGGAAGTCACGTACAGGTCAAAAGGTGTAGAATGTGAATCCTGTTTGAGCTGGTATCACGTAAAATGCGGTGATATATCAGATGATGAGTATCGAAATATAAGTGAAACCGTCTGGTACTGCAGAAAATGCATTGCAATAAGAGAGAAAAATAAGTCAGGGCAACAAGCTAAGTTGTTTCTCCGTTACGTTGATGATATAGTGAGAACAGTGAAGGGCGATCCTGAAAAAGTGCTACGGGCTGCAAACTTAGTACATCCAAATTTACAGTTCACAATAGAAACACAAAACACAAACGGAACTTTGACTTTTTTGGATTTACAAATTAGTATTTACAAAAGCAGGAAAATTAGCTGTGGGTGGTATCAAAAACCAACAGATACAGGTACCATACTAAATTTTAGAAGCTTCGCCCCCCTTCAGTACAAGAGAAGTGTGATTGAAGCAGGGATGTCGAATACTCGGATTTTTTGATATTCGTTATTCGCCGCGGCCCAACTATTCGATATTCGACTTCGGCCGAATAGTGCCCTTACTATTCGGATTCGGCTTCGGCCAAATGTTACTACTCGAACAACTATTCGGATATTTGGTTATTTTCTAAAAAGTATTGAACATAGCATTTTTCAATTAGAATTGGCTGGGACTTGCGTAATAATGTAAAAATCGCGCCATTTTGCCACTCCTTTTTCTTTTCTATACTCGCACTTAGCCATCTTGAAAAAAAACAGAAAAATATTGTGAAACAAAACAGTAAACCAATATTCGGAATATTCGGGTTTTTTAGCAGTGGACCCTGGATTATTCGGTATTCGGCAAAAAAAAAAAATATTCGGATTCGATATTCGGATTTCAAAATTTTAATCTTCGGATTCGGCTTCGAAGTGCCGAATACTCGGTATTCGGGTCGAATACTCGGATTCGAATCGATATCCCTGGATTGAAGGAACTGTTCACCGGGTTTTCCGTAGTACGTCAACATGGGAAGAATATGATAAAGCCATGAAAATCAGCCGTGAGCAGTGGGTGGATGACCAATATCAGGAAAGTTGGTCGTCGCGGGTTGCATCCCAGGCCCTTGAAAAGATCATCAGCGAGGGCAAAAACAAAAAGAACACGGCTGAGAAAAAGAAGCCCTGTGATTATAGCAGTGATTCACCACCCATCTTGATGGTCCAATATAGGGGGAATCACAGTCAGACATTAGCAAAAAAAGTGCGCGAAATCACCAATGCGCTGATAATATTCACGACGAGGAAATTGAAAGCTTGTATGCCCTCTCTAAAATCCTTCTTTTCCAGTGAACTGAAATCAAAAGTGGTGTACAGACTTGAATGTTGTGGGTGCAAATCCATCTATTATGGCCAGACGGCCCGACATCTCACCACAAGGATTGAGGAACACCGAAAAGAGGATACCCCCAGTTGGACAGCATATAAGGCAGTGTGGTAGTGAGACTGGTAAGTCTGAGCTTAATTGGAAAATAATCGACCAGGCGTCCAGCAGCATCAAGGTACTTACATTAGAGGCGCTGCACATTAGGAAAGAGAGACCGGCAATTAACACGCGCGACGAGTTTAGAAGTAGGGAGCTGACACTAAGGCTATAGTTCCAGAATCAAAAAAATCTGGTTAAAACAACAAAATTTTGAAACAACTCACATGTTAGCATTAAAATTAGCCACAAAACAAAAATGTGAAAATAAAAATGAAGTAAACTCTCAGAAATTTGTGACAAAATGTTTTAAAATGTTACATAATAGTTGTTACATAATTTCAGTGATATTTGTAAAGTTTTGATTGGTTGAATTTTAAAATTTTGAAGTAATGATGTGTGTGACACTTTTTATGATCTTTGATCATTTTGTACAGATAGTTTAGAATTTTTAAAACCTGAAGATGCACAAAATGTGCGAAAACGTTTGTTTGAATTTACAATTTTGACGCATTCTCAAAAAAAGAGAAATCTAACATCTATATAATAATAAGGTCGAAAGTAACATAGTGACCGAGTTTACAATCAGGAGTCCCATCGTCACATTATCCAGTCAAGATCCTAGGATTTTTCTAGATATTGGAGAGTAAAATATAATGAAGATAGAAGTACGACGAGCGACAAGAATGGTACAAGGGCTGCAGACACTAAGCTACAATGAAAGGTTAAAGAAACTAGAACTACCGTCACTTGACTACCGTTAGAAGGCGGAGAACAATGATCGAAATGTTCAAAATACGTTACAACCGTTATGACCCAAAAGCTACTAAAGGCATGTTCGAATTGAATAACCGCGACACAAGTACAAATGACCAGAAAGTGATAACGAAGAAGGCCAACCTCGAATTGCGGAAAATTTTTTTAACCATTATATCAGCTACAGATTGGAATTTGTTGCCAGAAGTAATTGACTCGAAGACCTTGAACGCTTTCAAGAACAAACTGGACAAATAGTGGAAGAAAAGCGGAATTAATAAATTTGAGAAGAATTAATCGAAAAGGATGAAAATTTAGTCCCAAAATATTTTTGGTTTGTTATTTAAAACGTACATGTCTAAATCGAAATTATGACTCAGAAACTTCCAGACAAATTATCTTAAAAATGTTTAAATAATTTTAGAGGTTAAAAGTATTTTAATCTTAATAGTAACTTAGAGGTCAACTGTGAGTGGCTAATTTTTTATCATGATGGTTTAGAACCAAATTGTATGTGATTTATTGTAAATAACATTTGTTAATTGATGTTTTATTGTCATTTAGATTAGTTTTTTTAAAAAATCCTGACGATGCACATAGTTGCGAAAACGTTTAAAATTTACTTCTTAGCAAAAATTTCTTCAATTTTACATGTACATTCGTGATAACACAAAAAGCGAAGAGCTTAAAATTCCAACTGTTTTCCCATTAAAGGGCCAGTATAAAAATTTTTAATGATTTTCATCAATGTATGGGGAATTTTTATAGTGTTTTTTTATCGATACGTAAAATATGTCCAATTTTTATTTGAGTTACCGAAATCTTTCATATTGTAGCAGCTAGCTCCCTGTTCCACAGCATCAACAACCTTAACGCATGTGAGAAAAAGCAATACGAGAGCCTTGTTACAGCAATTCCTGGCCTATCCCTTAATAACAACTCGCTGGACCAAAGAAAGAACCTCCGACGATTACTGGAAGACAGTCCACTGAAGGAGAAAAAAGTGGTTGTGTGGCACGACGTGGTGAACAACACCATTAGCAGCCACAGAACAAAAAACTATCGCCCAGCCGGTGTCGAGGAGCTGACAAACTATTTGAAGTCATAGAAGCAGCAGATATTGGCTATCGTTTATTGCAGAAGGGAAGGACCGCCCGACTTGTTTAGTCAGCTTCTCGGCTTAGGAGTGCTCATTATTCCAGCTACAAAACGGCTACTCTCCAAGAGCAAGCAAGACGACCCGGAGCAGCTCACGGAATATTTGAAGCTGCACCAGAGTGCTGAATTGGAGCTGAAATCTCTGTGATTGGTAGTTGCACACAAAGAAAGGCTGTCAGAGCTGATTGGCAACATCAGGGGCAAACAACAGAGACCATCACAGACAAGGAGGAAGGCGAAAGCAAGACGTGAGCAGAAGCTGAAGGCAGAAGAAGTGTCTGCGCTTCAAAGACAGGGATGAGAAGAGTGTGATTTGTTTTGCTTTGTGCCTTGTGAGTTTCATTACTCGTGGCCTGCAAAACAATGACCACAGTATTTTGCCTGCTGTTTGGCTCAGACAAATTTTAAAAAGAAAAGTAACTTGGAAAATTGTAATAGACTATTTAAAACTCTTTAAAAAAGCTCAAGTATCTGTACATAGACTGAAGTTTCTGAGAAAATGTCTAAAAAACGATCTAATACCGGACTTTTTGAAGTTTAGGGTCGCCGAAAACGGGATTTTTTCGGACCAAGCTGTGCATAATTTTCAATTGATACTACTAAGGACTGAAACTTCTAGGACAAACGAGGATAGGAAAAGGTACGAGGATATGCTAATGAAAGCAAGATCACTGGTGCAAAAAGAAATTGACGAAGGGTGAAGGGCATTCATTTTCCGCTTCGAGAGGCGTCAAGTTGAGGCAAGCTTAAAGACAACATCAGAAAACCATAGAAAAAAGCTAGAAAAACTGTCCGAGGGACAAGATAAACCTCTTGGGGGGAGAAATGAGCGATCAGTTAAGGTACTTGAAAACATTAAACTGCCT